CGCGGCCATCACGCCCATCGCGCACAGCGTCCCCCAGCCGCCGCCCCTCCTGCAGCAGCAGCAGCGAGAAGGTGAGGAGGCCGCCACCTCCCCTGGGCGCCGGCCCCGCCCTCTGACCGCCCCCTCCACCTCCAGGACCCCCGGCCTGGCCTGGCCTCAGGGAACCGCGCGGCTAAAAGCGCGGCCTGCGGTCTGGACAGATCTGGGTCAAGTCCCGATGCAGCCCCTGGGTGTTTGGGGAACAAATGAATCTTCTCCTCTGAGCCTTGTTCTTCTCCTCTGGGAAGTGGGAACCGGGCTAGTCCCGACCCGGTGAGAATAGCAGTGACCCTGCCCCCACCAGGAGGTCTCTCCAGAATGGTGTGATTCTCTGAAATTTTGGAGAGGAAACGCGTTTTGAGGTTGGAGGGTGGGATGATGCGGTATCTCAGGTAAAATGAGGCTCCCGCAGTAAAGTCAAGGGAGGGAGGAGTTAGACTCTGGAGTCGGAATTCAATCCGGATTGAAATCGCCCAGTTCTGACCTGGGACCTCACATGGAAGGCACTTCACTGCCCGGTGCTTCAGTTTCCTCATCTGTCACACTGGCGACCCTCTGCGCCCAGAGGCCTTACTGGGAAGTGAGCAGCGGCCACTCCTGACACATAGGAGGCACTCGGCACCAGGGAGTCACTCCTTTCCTTAATCCATCCAGTGAGGGTGGGGGCGGGGGCTGGGGACAGGCCCCACATCACCCTGTGACACGGGAAGCTTGGCCTGGCCTGCAGACTGAGTTCTGTGAGAATCTGTTTAATTTCTCCATTGCTGTTAGTCCGCAGGAACGGGGGACACTGCCTGGGTGCAGTGGCTAAAAGCTGGTTCGCATGCAGTCCGAGCTGCTATAACATGACCTATGCCTTCTGGAAATTCACCAGAGTTTGCAGAACTTCACCATACAAACCACAGGCTCATGGGGGAAACAGGGTTGGGGAAAGCCATTCAAAAATGTGGGCTGTGATGTGGCAAAAAAAAAAAGATAAAACCCTAATAAAAATGGTAATATGGTTTTATGCGTGTTAGATGGTTAAGAAATACATAATACTACAATAAATTTGGCAATTTATCTTGGAAAAGACCTGAAGTTTGCACGGGAAAGTGGCCTCGGAAGGGCTACAACATGTGTTACCGTGAAATGATGGAAAGGTTTGTCTCAAATCAGACGGGGAGTCCTCACCCCAGAAGGGAGTGGGTGTGACTCATAACACACTTGGGGAACTGAGACAGTTGGTAGATGGAGCTGTGTATGCGAGTGTGTGTGCATTTTGCTTTCTTAGGAGGTTCGGTTCAGCTGGGTGTGGTTTTTTGCATTCCCCTAGAGATAGCACACAAGCAAACACAAAATTCGTGTTTGCTCAAAATCGTTCTGAAACGTATCAGTCGCCTGGGAACATACTGGCATGTTAAAAACAAGCCTGTTAGCAGACTTGTGGTCCTAATCTGGAAGGTAAGAGGTAGGTGTGACTGTGTCGTTTTGGATCTTGTATTTTCCAGGGTGGGGAATATTCATTGCGAGTACAGGGGAGTTCTCAGTGGTTTGATGGTTACCTTTCTTTTGGGATATAATCAAGGTTTTTTTTGATGCTGTTCTTATTTATAGTTTTTATATGAGCCATGCACTGGGGATTATTGGGGGAGGGGATAATTTTGAGGGTTAGCCATGCTTTAAAAAATTCTTTCTAATCCGGATAGCATATCATTTAAAAATTATCTGTGCCTTCAGGATATCTGGGGTTCAAGACTGGAGAATTATCTTTTAATTTTACTTGATTTTATGTGTGTATCATCTGAGTTTTGAAAATTATCCAACATTTGGAGGATTATCCAAGGTTTTGAAAAATATCTGGGTATTTGGGGTTTGGAACCAGGGAATCACTTGTCTTATTTTATTCTGTGATCATTGAACTTTCAAAAAAAGATGAGCATTTCATTTTAAAACCAGTTTTAGATTTACAGAGTTCTTGCAAAGACAGAGTTTCCGTGTACCCCACACCCACTTCATCTGATTTCTGTAAATGATCTGGAGTTTGAGGTTTAGGGATTTTCCAGGGGCTTGGGGTCTTCTAGGATTTGGGGATTATCCAGGGTCTGGGATGGAGGGATTTATCTCGATTTGGGGGAGTAGAGATGAGCTGAATTTTGTAAATTCTCTGGGGACTGAGGATCATTAGAGGTTTGGAATATCTGAGTATGGGATTATATAGACAAGAGCTCAGGACACCCTGCCTCCCCTCCCCACCACTTCCATGCTCCTTCTTTCTGGGTGTTAGGGAGCACCCCTCTCCCAGCAACTGGAGATGCCAGATGTGGGCTCTGGACCCGCGCCCCTCCCCCGGGGGTCCGCCTCCTCTCCTTGGGGGCTTTATGTCTTTCTCTCCCCCACCTGCAGGTCCCGAAGGCTGTAACCTGTTTATCTACCACCTCCCCCAGGAGTTTGGAGACACGGAGCTGACGCAGATGTTCCTGCCCTTCGGCAATATCATCTCCTCCAAGGTGTTTATGGATCGGGCCACCAACCAGAGCAAATGTTTTGGTGAGTCCCTGTGGGGTGCCCCTTCCTGCTTGCCCTCCCTGGAATGGGAGGGTGGGAGAGTGTGGGCAGCCACAAGACAGGTCTAGTCCAAAAGAATCACATTCATGATCAAAGTGAGCACTTACTAAGCACCTACTGTGTGCTAAGCACTTACCTCTCAACCCTTCAAAGACTCCCTCATTCATTCAACAAACAGATCGTGCACCTACTGTGTGCCATACACCATGCCGGGCACTGGCACAGAGCAGTGATGGGAGACAACAAAAATCCCTGCCTGCGGAAAGCTCAGTCTTACTGTGCTGCCCCTCGAACTTTCTCCGCTGATGGGAATGTTCTATATCTGCGCTGCCTGAGCCGCCAGCCCCACGTAGCTACTGAGCACTTGAAATGTGGCCAGTGCAACCAAAGGACTGAATGTTTCATTGTATTAATTTTAATGCATTTAAAATTGTGGCCAGTGGCTACCAAGACCAAATTGGAAAGCATAGGTCCAGAGGGAGGAGACAGAAATAAACAAACATAGGATATAGACCAGGGTGTTATATGTGGTGTGGAGAAAAACAAAACTAGTGACAGAGTACAGACTGATAAGGAGGAGGCGATGTTTCAACTGAGACCTGAATGATGAGGAGCCAACCACGGGCATGTCGGGGGAAGAGTGTTCTAGGCAGAGGGAATCACTTGTGCAAAGACCCTGGGGCGGGACTGAGCCTGGTGCATTGGAGGAACAGTGAGGAGGCCTGTGTGGCTGAAGCAGAGTGAGTGAGGGGAAGAGAGGGAGGAATGGAGGGTAGGGAGGGGATGGGGCAGGTTGTGCAGGGCCTTGTGGACTGTGGAGAGAACTTCCTTGTCCCCAGAAATGGGAAGTTAAGGCTCAGAGAGGCACGTAACTTGTCCAAAGTCACACAGCACCAAAGAGGCAGAACCTAGATTAGAAACGGTCTATTAGACTCCAAAATCTGGACTCTTAACCCCACCCTGTCCTCTTTGAAGGGTCGACTCTTGACTATTTATTAAGCACTTCCTGTATGCACTCATTATGCAACCATAAAAGGGAAGAATTGTCCCAGTTTACAAGAGGAGAAAAGAGAGGCATAAAATGGCCAAGCAACATGCTTTAGGTCACACAGCAAGCAGGGGGCCCTCCGCCAGTGCCCAGGCCCCTTCCTCTGTATCCTGCTTTCAGGAGGAAGAAGGAAATTTCTGGAGGAAAATCTGCTTAATCACATTCAGCAGTCAGGGGTCATGTGTTTTCTCTGAGCCTCAATTTCCTCATCTATGTAGTGGGAGGTGTGGGTGATGTGGAACCCCCAGAGGCCACACCTGTCCCCCACGTGGGTTGAGAAGTCTCAGCAGAGCAGACCCCAAGTAAGAAATGAGTGCCCCATCCCCAGAGGCAAGCAAGCCCAGGAGGTGCCAGAACCAGGCCAGGGCTGCTGTGCGTCCTTTGGGAAGCCCTCCACCTCCCGGACAGCCTGCCCCTGTGAGTGCACACTCCTGCCCCCAGTGCCCCGCGCCACTGGGCAGCCAGGGCCACAGCACTGGAGCAAGCAGAGGATGCCCGCGTTGCCCATCATCGTGGGTCCACCCCGGTCTCTGCAGGCTTCGTGAGCTTTGACAACCCGGCCAGCGCGCAGACCGCCATCCAGGCCATGAACGGCTTTCAGATCGGCATGAAGAGGCTCAAAGTGCAGCTGAAGCGGCCCAAAGATCCGGGACACCCCTACTGACCGCGCCCACAGCCGCCCTGAGGCTGCGGGCTTGGCCCAGGTGAGCCGCCAGGCGGCCCCATCCCCATCCCCCACCCCGCCCCACCCCCGTCTTGTCCGCACTCCCTCCTCATTCTCCAAACCCTCCCCAGGCTGGGGGGATGCTGCAAGAGGCTACAAGGAGTCCCCAGGTTTGGTTGACAGGGACAGAGATGGACGAAGACACCCCCAATCTCCCTCTGTGGTCAGGGCTGGAACCAGAGCAGTAGGATGGGAGTGGGGAGGGTGGTTAGGGGATCCTTCCTGGAGAAGGCTTTGAAGGATGAATAGAAGTTCGTCTGAGAGGTGGGGTTTGGTCTGGGGTGGAGTGGGCTGTGGGAAGGGGCTTCTGTCCTGTGCTGTGAATCTGTTCTCCCAGCTGGGCTCCTCTGAGAGCTCTTTGCTTGGCATAATGCATACCAATGAGTTGATGGGAGAATGGAATTTTTGCCCTCAGCCATGGCATGCTGGGGGGGGGCTATCAGGGGGAATCCAAAGGAACGAACAAATCCCCAAGCGTGTTTGTGCCATTAGTGTGAACAACTCTGTCCAATCATCACCTTCTTTGGGGGAATGAACTGTGAGCCTGAGGGGCCAATGGGGAAATTTACAACGAGCTCACGCCTTGACAAGGCTCATCTGTGAAGTGGGCCCATGCACGTGGCCTCCCCCAGAGGCAGTGGGACGGATCCCCGCAGGGCACTCGGTGTTTTCCCAGCTGAGCCCGGGTCCTGCCACCTGGGAATCTCGTTTCCTCTTAATCGTCGTCGCTGCGTCATCACAGAGGATGTCCTGGGATCTGGTGTGAAGCAGGTGCTCAGTGAGGGGCTGTTCCTGCTCCCAGGAACCCTGCTCCCAGCACCCACAGATTCGAGGGTGTTCAGTCACGGGGTCGTGTGTCTTTGGGAGCGACGGAAATCCACCCCTGGAAGCCAGCAACAGGCAATCTGCGTTTGGACAAGTTGACAGCAATTCCTCACTGAGCATCTACTGTGCGCCAGGCACTGTTTCCAGCCGTGAATGAACCGAAATGGGATTGGGGAGCTGCTTCATGGAGCTTCAGTGGCAGGGAGCAGGGGAGAGGAGGCAGAAATAAACATTTGCCCCAAGTGGCCAGATGAGGGCATGGGTTTGATGACCCTCAGTCCCTTCCAAGCTGGGTGTGTCAGCCTCTAGACCCCAAAATGGACTTTCTGAAAAGATAGGGTCCCTTGGGTTCCAGACCCTAGCCTGGCCAGGGCAGGGGTGGGGGTGGGAGGTGATGTCCTCTGCTGACCTGTGCCCTCATCGCCACACCCTAACGCCCCTCCCTTCTCCGCCAGGTGAGGGGCCTTCCCACCCCAGGAGGGTTTCCCGCTTCCATCCGATCCAGGACTTTACCGTAAATTACAACTGAGTTTGGACACCAGCCCCCACCTCCTCTCCCTTCTTCCTTGTCCCCCTCCCCAAAATGTGAAACACTACTGAAGGCCACACGGAGCTGGGATGGGGCTTCGTGGTCTGCGAGGGGCTCCTGAGTTGGGGGCCAAGGGGCTGACTGCCCCTTCTGGGAGATTTCCTCGCTCCCCCCACAACACAACCTTTGTGGCTTCCCCGAATGAAATCGCAACTTTTCCTATATATATACATGCATATATATAGAGAGCTATAGACGGTATATATATTTTTTGAGTATAGATCATGGGACCAAACCTTTCCGACTTCCTTCCATCTAAGAGAAGGTGGCCCTGGGCAGGTCACTCAGCAGGGACACTCAGAAGGGCTGAGGCTGGTGGGGCAGCCCAGTGTCTCCCCACCTCCCGCTGTCATGTCAGACCAGGGCACCAGGCGAAGCACTGAGAATCATCAGCCGACGCGATATACCTCCAGGACTTTTGACCCCTGCCACCGACGAGATTCTCGCGGGCCTGTGGGCTCAGCTGGCTTCAGTGTCCCTGGTCCTAGCTGCAGCTTCCGGAACCTCCTCCCCCTCCTCATCCCAGGGCCCTACCTTCCCCGGATGTAGGCACAAAAGAGACCCCTTGGCCTCCCCCAGTCCTTCCCCCCAGTCATAGCCTTACTCATGTGACCAATAGCCCTTAGCTTTCCGTGTCGGGGGCAGACAGGGGCGGGGGCGGGGAGCCCCCACCCAGAACCCCCTCCCAAGGGCAGGCGGCCACCCTCCCTGCCTTTGGATCACCAGCCTGGAATCCACAATCTCATGACCAAGATTGCCACGTGCACTAGACAAACCCGACCTGCACCCCTTCACCGGAGATACCTCTACAAAGAATTTTTTTTTTGGTCTTTCTGAGCAGGTACAAAGAAGAAAAGACATGAGGAAAAAAATCAAATGACAATGGATTTTTGTTTTCTAGTTGGGGCGGGGAGGACTATGCTTTGTGGGGGGGCGGGGCTCTGTATAGCTACCCAAACCGTGAAAACCCTTCTTGAAGCACAGAGTCAAGTTTTTTTTTTTTTCGGACATCCGGTGGGGCCTCTTGCCAGATGAGGCACCAGAGAACTTAATAAGCTCAAGAAAAAAAAATTTTAAAGAAAAAAAAAGCACTCCCTTTTGTTTCTACCAAATGTGTTGACCGACCCAGAAAAAAAAAAAAGGAAAAAAAAATAGCAAAAAAGGGAAAAAAAAGGAAAAAAAATCTTCTGACCAACCTGTTTCGATATTCCAGTTTGATAATTGTTCCAAGACCCTCTCTAGCGTGCCTGTGTCCCGTGCGTCTGCGTGTACAAGTGTGTGCTCAGGGGCGGCGGGGTCCCATCCGTGTCCCGCCCCGCCCCGCCCCCCGCCAGGCCTGCTTGGGAGTGCGTGCTGGCGTGCAGTGGCGTGTGTCCTCTGGTCCATGTTTACTGGCTGTAAATACCATTTTTATACTCCACATCAAAGACCTACGTGATTTGTACGATGTACTTTATTTCTGCTACGAGTAATTTCATGAAGTTTCAACTTGCAAAACGACTTTTGGAGACAAACACACACACACACACACACACACACACACACACACACGAAAGACAAGAAAAAGACTTGGAGGGAACTTTGGGTTGACTTGGTTTGAATCTCGAGGTCCTCGTCACTGTGGCGTGTTTCAGGTGAGAGGCTGCAGGGGTCATCCTAATGTCCAAAATGCCTCTCTTTGGTCTGGAGAAACTGAAAGTTTATTTAATAAAAGTTTTACTTGCTAAAAGACTGAGTTCTCCCTCATTTGCCCTGTTTCATCGAAAAAGACCAAGTGCATTGGGTGTCTGGACTAGAGATCAATCTAGATTTAGAGGGAGGGTTTGCAGGAGGAGAAGGAAGGTCGGTCGTTCCCATGGTCAGGATTCTGTCTGATTCATCCTGACATTGAAGAAATGGGAGTGTTCTTTCTCCAGAAAAGTAGGTACATTTTGTTGATTCATACGTCCATTCATTCATTCAACAAACGTTTACTGACTGCCTACTGAGTGCCTGAGCCTCTGCTGGGGTCAGGGACACAGCAGTAACCAGTTGGTTCTGGGCTCTGCCCTCAAGGAGTCAGCCAGGAGGTGGGGGCAGGGGAGATGCCATACAATATACATTTTTGTAATTGAGATAAAAATTCACCATTTTTCTTTACCATTTTGAAGTGTACAGTTGAGTGGCATTAAGTACATTCAGGAGGCTGTGTAACCATCACCACTGTCTAGTTCCTAAAGGTTTCCATCACCCCTAAAAGCAATCCCGTCCCCATTAGCAGTCACTCCCCAACCCCTCCGCAGCCCGTGGCCACCACGAACCCACTTTCTGTCTGCACAGCAGGAGCTGAACCCAGGCTCTCAGGCTGGTCTCTTACCCACTGTGCTGTCCCACTTCCCTGTGCTGTGTGGCAGCTGAAATTCAAATGTATCAGATGGTAATTCAGGTTATTATTTGTAGTATTCCAATTTAAGCTTTGAAATTTAACTCAAAGCTGTTAAACATTTAGAATATGCACCCATATGAAACTGTGGATTTGCCTGTTCACATCAATGGAATCACACAGTGTGTCCTTTTGTATCTGGCTTCTCTCACTGAGCATAGTGTTCTCAAGGTCCAACCATGTTGTGGCGACTGTCAGTGCTCTGCTCCTTTTAAGGCTGAATATATTCCAGTGTGTGGCGAGACCATTCATCCACCGATTGAGATGTTGCCACCTTTGGCCATTGTGAATCATGCTGCTGTAGTGATTCGTGTGTGAGTTTCTGTTTGAACATCTGTTTCAGTTCTCTCAGGTCCATCCTAGGAGCAGAATTGCTGGATCTTGGTAAATCTGTGTTCCCACCAGCAACGCACAGGAGTTCCTGTTTCTGCGCATCCCCACCTATACTTGTTACACAGTCAACGGAGAAATCTCTCCATTGGACCTGACACAGTCAAGGCCCCGGAAGTGTTCTGAAGAGGTGAGACTTGCAGGAGGTGAGATCCAAGACCTGATGTAGCTTTGGCTAAAAAAACAAAAACAAAATGGCCTGCAGTTCCAGCACTCCAGTGAAGGCCTCAAAGTTCCTCCCCCAAAATCCTGAGACCCGGGATGGGGGACAGTGTGCTCCAAGGTAAGGCGTGGAGGTGGGGTATGAGTAAGCGGAGATGGACACACTCAAGCTGAGCCTTTCCAAATTTACGGGAGGGGTACTAGCCACTCAATTTAATTAGCCACTTAATATCCTTCCAGGGGCTTTGCAGAAATGGCATCCTTTAATCTGATCAACAACTCATTCCATTTTATAGTTGAGGAAACTGAAGCTCAGAGACAGGAAGTGCCTTCCTCCAGCTCCTACAGAAAGAACAAGACCCAGCTGGGGTGGGAGCTGGAAAGGTGAGTCTGAGTCCACCTGGAAGGGTTTTCTGGGTGGAAGGAACAGCATGGGCAAAGACTCAGAGGCTTGGGATGTCGTGGTCGTTAGACCATTGGCTAAGACCATAGCACTGGGTGAAGAGACAGATGAGAGGTGATGGGGGCTGGGTCACAGATGTTCCTTTGTGATTGAGCACCTACTGTGTGCCAGACCTTGTCCCCATCTTCCCAAGGTTGCAGCCAAGGAGAAAGTACTTTGGGACAAAAAAATCAAAAGCACCCCATGTCCAGAAGGAAAAGTAATTCTCAAGCATGCTGAAAGTTATAATCACAAGGAGACCAGCAAGTCTGGGACATATCTTGATGTCAGTTGGGAGCCACAGAGTGTTTTGAGCAGGGGAGGTGTGGGATCAGGTTGGAGTAATAAGAGAATACCTGGGGTGACCTCTGTACCGCTGGAGGGGTGTAAATCAGCATTCTGGAGAACGGTTTGGCAGAATACTATACTTACCAAGCATCTATTAAGCATTTACTCTTTGCCAAGCATTCTTTCAAGCCTGTGTCATACAATACAGTAGCCACTAACCACATGTAGCTATTTATATTTCAATCAATTTGTCAAATTATAACTTTATTCCTCAGTCACACAGAGCCACATTTCTAGGTCTCCAGAGCCACACGTCCATCACTTCAGGAAGTTCTCTCAGACAACACTGGTCCAACTATTTTACATGACATAACCTGCCACGACCTCATGAAGTATGTCCTGTGAATAGCCCCACTTTATGAGTCAGTTAACTGAGGCTCAGAGAGGTTAAGTGACTGGCCCAAGGCTGCACAGCAGGAGTTGAACCCAGGCTCTCAAGCTAGTCTTTTAACCACTGTGCTGTCCCACTTCCCTGTGCTGTGTGATGGCTGAAATTCAAATGTATCAGATTGTAATTCAAGTTATTATTTGTAGTATTCCAATTTAAGCTTTGAAATTTAACTCAAAGTTTTTAAACATTTAGAATATGCACCTGTACCAAACAGTGACTCTACCTGAGGGTCTCCATAGAGTGAATAAAGGTGTGCTTGGGATGGCTATGATGTAGGTGTGCAGCCAGGGGCAACAGGCTAAGTGACATCCAGGGTAAATCAGTTAGTTACTGCTGCATAACAATTTAACCTCCCCCAAACTGAGCCACTTAAAACACCACACATTTATTATCTCACCCAGTTTGCACAGGTCAGGAATCCAGGAGTAACTTAGGTGAGTGGTTCTGGTTCAGGGTCTCTCACAAGGTCACAGTCAAGGTATTAGCTGGGGCTGCCTCACCTGAAGGCTGGACTAGGGCTGGGGGAGCTGTTTCAAGCTGGCTCCCTCACATGGCTATTGGCTGGAGACCCTAGTTCCTCCTCACCATGTGGACCTTTCTATAGGGCTGCTCACTACAGGGCAGCTGGCATCCCCCAGACAGAGTGTGACCCAAAGTGAGGGAAGGAGAGAAGACACTGCCTGTTTTGACTTATCTCTCCAGGTAACATGCCATCCCTTCTGCTTTATTCTATTTGTTAGAGGCAAGATACAAAGTCTAGCCCACAGTCACAGCAGGAGATTACATATGGGCATGAATATCAGGGGGTGGGGCCCATGGGGGCCACCTTGGAGGATGGCCACTGCAGGGGAGCATTACCCGGTGGGATACCATGTGGTCCTTGGAGAGTGTAATCATCTCCAGGTCATGTTAGGCGAAAAGGAGAGATGCAGAAAATACACAGCAGGAAGCAACCCATGTGTCTGTGTGTGTGCGTGTTTAAATGTATACACGTATAGTACTAAATTCATCGCTCTTAAGTCTGGAGGCTTAAACTTAAACTGGAGACCGCCCAGGGTTTGAATCCCACTTATGAGAATTATCAGACCAGTGGCCGATCTCTCTGAGGCTCAGCCTCCCCCCCAACTCTGGAAAAGTGAGGACAATCAAGCACAAGCTTTTGAGGGTTGTTGTGGGAGTGAACGAATCCATATTTGTGAAGCCCAGAGTAACCGCGACGCAAGTGTCAAATCAATCCCGCTGAAATTAACTTTCCAGCGGCTTCGCCCCTGGCCACCAGGAGGGGGCAGCAGAAACTCATGCCTTCCTTCGGTACTATTGATGCCTTCACTTGAAAGGCCGCAAGCATTTACTGAGCGCCCGGTGGGTGTCGCGGCCCGCTGTGGACTGCATGAGGGGTGAGGAGACCCCTGGGCTCTCTCCTAGGACATAAAAGCTACTTTGCCCAAATTCCTTAGCCAGTGCCTTAAAGCCTGTGGGATCGGCCCCACCTCCCTTCTGTTGCCTCCTCTCTCCAGATTGAATGTGTTACTGCCGCCAGGCTTTTACACGTGCGGTTCCCCGCGCAGGGAAACTCTCCCATCCTGGAGTTCTCAGACGCTGGACTGGCACGGAGACACACAAAGTCTTCCGAGCACAGGGAATGGCACGGTGGTCAAACAGCCTGACGTGGGACCTGAGGCCCACAAGAACAGAGACATGTTTGCCTCTGTCCTCAGTATTTGCTGAGCTATTCAAGGTTTGCATGCCTTTGAGCAGCCTCATTCTTCCTCCAAGCCTCAGTTTCCTCATCTGTAAAATACTTTGCCCCATCTAGGATTGCTGAGACGATCAAGGACACGAATGCGCACGAATAACAAACCTTGTCATCATAACATAACATTGTAAGAAGGCAAAACAGGATCTCCTGAATCAGAAAAGTGAACTCTCGGACAGTATTCCTACTGTATTCGAATGTCAACAAGCCCTTATGGAGCGCCTGTGGTGTGCTAGGCTCTGCTGTAGGTAGGTTCTGGAGACGCTGCAGAGAACAAAACGCACGAAAATCCTCTGACCACGCCCCCAGGTCCTCGCCCCGCCCCCTCTCTTTTCCCAGCCTACCAGAAAGGGGTGGGGGTGAGGCTTACCTACATATTCGTGAGTCTATCAGCCAATCCGCAGCCTGAAGTCAGGCCTGTCTTTGGAGCAGGGGTGATTGTGACGTCAGGAGTGACGCATTCAGTGATCCTTAAAGGTGCAGTAACCTCCGATGGAGTAGGGAGTTTGGAACAGACTTGGAACGACACATACCTGCCTTTCTTTGGCGGTCTGTACAATGCAGGTTGGGATGTGCAAGGCATCGAAACCAGCGCCTACTAGCACCGAAAGAGCGTTGCCATCGTGGGTGAAGTCCAGAGATACGTTTGGAGAGCTCAGTCCCTGCCAGGCACTTTACTCCAGTGGCAGGTCCCTGCGCGAACTGAAGTTTCAGCACCGGGGGTCGCGGACAGCTCCAGGGCCCAACCAGAGCGCGCTGTGTGGGTGGGTGTACGTTGTGCAGAGGGTTCTGGCGACAGGGCCCAGAAAGAGCCCCAGGTCCTCAGCCAGCCCACTGGAACAAGGCCGCCTACTCTCTGCCTGTCTGTCCCCCCATCAAAGCCTCAGAGGAGCCCAGCCTCAGATCGATGACTCCACCTGACATCTCCAAGGGGATATTCCTCAGGTCAAAATTGTTCCTGGTCCCCAGCCCTGCTTCTCCCGCGTCGTCCCCATGCCAGCAGATGGCTGTCCCATCCTTCCAAGTGCTGGGGCCAGATATCTTGATGTTATCCCTGACTCCTTTCTTGCTCACTCCGTAACTAGTCTGTTAGCAAGTTCTATCGCCTCTGCCTTCAAAAGTGTCTCCTAAATTGGCCCACTTCTCCCCTCTCCTGTGCCTCCACTGGTCCAGCCGCAGGATCTCCCGCCTGGACCTGCGCAGTCCCCTCCACCTTGGTCCTCGGCTCCTGCCCTCACTTCCACAGTCTGTCCTCCCCGCAGCAGCCACCAGAGGGCGCTTGGGAGCACCTGAGTCAGACCCCGCCCTCCTCTGCCCACAGCCCTCTAGGATTCCCACCTCCTTGAGGGTAAAAGCCCACGTCCTCCCCACGGCCCACAAGGCCCTGCACGACCTGCTTCTGTACCCTCCCTTCCCTCACCTCCTCCCTCTCTCCTTGCTCACTCCGCTCCAACCACATTGGCCTCCTCCCTGTTCCTTCAACACATCAGGGACAGTCCTGCCCCAGGGCCTTTTCACTGGCTACACTCTGCATGAAACCCTTTTCCCCAGATATCACCTGCAAATTTGTCCTCAACTTTCCACTCACAAGAGTAGCCGGGAAGGAGTGGAGGTGGAATAAGTTAGCAAGAGGATGTCGGGCGTCATAGGCCTGGAGACCTGGTGAGGATGTTGATTTCTATCACCAAGGCAATAGGGAGCCATGGAGGGTTTTATAGGAGGAAGAGGCGAGACAATCACACCTGCATGTTTTAGGCTACCCCTGGCTGTTGTGTGGAGAAAGAGGAGGCTTGTGCTGGCTTCCAGGTGGGCAATTGTGTGGCTTAGATGAGGCCAGAGCCACCCAGAATTTGCATCGGCCGAATCTGGTGTCTGCCTTGATTGTGTTATGTTCCCTAGAGCTCAGTACGGGACTTGGCATACAGCAGGTGCTCAATAAAAGTCTGATGAAGGAAGGAAGGAAGGAAGCAATGTCCCATGCCCAGATCCCTGGCTTGGAGACATCTGACATTTCATTAGCTCTCACAGCAAAGCTGAAAAGAAGACATCACTGGGCCCACTGTACAGATGGGGAAATTGAGGTTCAACGAAAGGAAGAGATTTGCTAGAGCAAATCCAGGCTGACTCAAGAGTCAAGCCCTCTGGGTGGTCATGGAAGGTTTCCAGGGGGAGGCGGCCTAGAACAGAGGGGATGAGGCTAAGGGCCAGAGGAGGACACTCTTGGCTGCAGGAAGGGCTTGAGAGCTTCGAGGCCTGTGGCTGTAGGAGGATGAAATCCAGCTGGAAACCTCACGGGCAGGTTGCCCCGGGCGGGAGGGCCAGGGAAACGGTCCTGAGCTGGGACGGTCTGTCTGGTGCACAGAGGAGGGCTGTGGGCAGCACCAGCTTCCATGACCCCTGTGCCCAGCCCTGGGAGCCCCCCTCCCCTCAGCTGCACTTCAGAATACCCTCTTTATTTGCAGTTTTGTGCTTTTGAATGGGACATGTCTGGGTACGTGCTTGGGGCATATTTATTCCATTTGCTATTTTCCCAGCTTCTTGGAACCGTGATTCAATGTCTTTAATTCTGGAAAGTTCTTGGCCATTCTCTCTTAAAACCTTCTTCTGCCCTCTTTCCCCTGTCCTGCTGGGATTCCAGTTACACATCTGTCAGGTTGTTGGATTTTGTCCTGCAGCCTTCAGGGGTCCCCAGCGTCTACAACACCTTTCTCACTCTTGATTAGCCTCTTAGCAAAGACACTGTAGGTTTCAGGCTTGATCTGAGTTGGACACAACCGTGGAGGGTTTCTTTTTTAATTATATTTCTCTTTACAGCTGCCCTGTTGGACAGGGCGTGGCCAGGTCTCTAGGCCTTTCCTGTTCTCTCTCTCTATCTCTCCTCGTCTCTGTCTCGCTCTGTGAAGTCTCCCTCCTCCTCCCTTTCCGCTGGAAAGGCACCTCCCACATCTGCCTTCCGCCAAAGCCCGGGCTCTGACCCGCGCCATCTGAATGCCTCACTCCCACCGCACATCTGTGGGGTAATTGTCTCCCACGACCACAGGGTACCGAGGCAAATTATAGTTACGGGGCGGGGGCCTCCATGTGGCCAACCGCGTCCGCTGGGCTGGGCCCTGCTGGCCTCAGCTGGGCAAGCTGGCCGAGGCAGGCCCCCGCTCAGGCCCTGGGAGCCATGCCCAGCCCCTAGCCCTTCCCCAGCCCCCTTGCCAGACCTGCAGCTTTTGTGCCAAGATGAAAATGCCTTTGGGGAAAGTCAGCAGGAAATGCCAATGTTTGCAAAACCCCGACCCATTATTCATTCATTCATTCACTCAACACGTAGATCACTGAGCGCCTACCCTGTGCCAGGCGCGGCTCCGGGCACTGAGGCCAAAACCGTGAATGAGCCAGACAGAAGCTGACACCCTCCCCCGAGCCGGGGGCCACAGGCAAGCACTAAGTATAGTGATACAGGAAAGTGAAGCTGGGAGGGGCTGCAGGGGCGGGGTGGGGAGCACTTGTAGGCCAGGGGCCAGCGGAGCCTCCCTCAGGAGGTGTCATCTGAGCTGAGACCGGATGAAGCGAGGGTGGGAATAGGCAGGTATTCAGCAACCCCCCCCCAGATCGCAGATGTGAGCTCTACCTGCTGTGTGTCCCTGGGCCCCTAACTAAACTTCTCTGAGCCTCTGTTTTCTGGTCTGTCCTGACCGGGCACAGCTCTGGTGAGGGTGAGTGGTGGTCGTGCACCTGGCATACAGTAGGTGCTCAAGAAACCACAGCTGTGAGTGATGGTGATCTGAGTAATCTGGTCTCATCCACACACTCGTGCTTTGTCGGGGGTCGATTGGTGGAGCCTGTGGTATGTGGGGCCCAGCGAGGGCTCAGAGTCCCCAAGCTGGACACAGAAATCTGTCAGTCCTATGTGTTCACAGCCAGGGCCTGGGGCCAGAAGGTGTGGATCGCACAAGGAAATGTGGCTGATAATCCAAACCTCTCGTGGTGGGAGTAGAGAACGTGCAACCCAGACAAGGTGTGGCTGGGTGTCCTCTCTCTGTCTCTCTCTTCCTGTCTCTCACTCTCTTTGTCTCTGTATCTCTGTTTCTCTTTATCTCTGTCTGTCTAATTCTGTCACCCTCAGTGGGAGGGAGGGAATGTTGGGCTGGGTTTTGAAGGATGCATAGGAGTCCCCAGGTAACAAAAGGAGGAAAGGTATGCTAGGCAGAGAAGATAGGGGAAAGCCAGGCCCAGTCCCAGGGGAGACCTTAACCTGGGGACACTAGGGAGTGTGGAGGGTGGCAAACAAAAAAGTGCCGTGTTTTAGGAAGAATCCTCCGGGTTGTCGAGAGACCAAGCAGAAGGGGTGAGCCCAGGGCAGTCAAATTCCCCGCGTGCTACCATCCTCACTCCTGATCCCACAGGGATCAGCTTTGGCACCTGTTCATGTCCAGTTGTGCAGCCAACAACCCCCACCTCCTTCTGTCCACTCCTAATTGGCAGCTTGAAAGGCCAATGAAAACGCAGAGGCCAGCCACTGTCACTTCAGAGCCTCCAGCAGCCCCTCGCCAGGAAGTCCTTCCTGCTGTCCATCTTCAGTCCCTCCTACTGCCAGCGAGAGGCCAGACCATCCACCCCCACAGAGCGGCGGCCGGCTTCTTCGCCTCTGGCTTAGGCACACACTCGGTGCTCCATAAATACACAATGCTGCTAAGATGGTCAGAGCAAAGGACACTCCCTGGCTGGCTTCTGTCTGGAAGCGGGGAGAAGGAAGGGAAAAGTGAGTCAATGACAATCACAGCCCCTTCTGCGGGCTTCTGCGTCTCATCCCCCTCACCCCGCCACCGTCCTCAGCGATTCTCTGCCAGCTTCAGGCCAGGGAGAGTGGCCCGGGCCTTGTCTGAGGTCGCACAGCCAGGACTCGACAATCCTGGGCCCTCGCACCCCGCTCTCTTTGTGCACTGGGAACGGCTTTCTCTTCCCATCTCTGAAAACAGCCCATGCGCTGTCCCATGGCTTCAGGGCACCCCCTCTGGAGTTGATGAGGCCTCGGGGCGCCTGCCCAGCCAGCATCCAAGACCGGGTGGTAGACGGGTGGGAGGAGGGTCGGGGCCATCCTCTGCACACCCCCTACTCCCCCCGGCCCGGGCCTTCGGGGAGGCGGACGGGCAGGGGAGGGGCAGGCAGGACAAGTACCCTCCTTCCGGGGGTGGGCGGGGGGCTCCCAGTCAGAGGCTCATTCACAAATCTGCAGTTGGCATGAGAGCATCGACCAACCGCCCGCGCGCACACACACTCACACGGGAACACACACACGCGCGCGCACACGCGTGCACGGCCTGCGGCGGCCTCCTCGGGCTGTGGGTGGCCACTTGCAATAGGCCGGCCTGGTGTGCCTCTGGCTAACGCATCTGCATGCCTCCCGCCACCCGCCCTCTCTCAAGTCTGTGATCTGCAGCTCTCAGAGTCCCGGGCACCCGCCTCCGACTCCCCCAGAGAGAACCCCTCGCTCAGGGCCATGGAAGCCCGGTCCCCAG